TTATTAGATGCCTTGAGGGGGTGTGGTTTCCTAAACATCTTTGGATTTGGACAAAAACAAAATAGTGTGATTATGTTGTTGAATTAGCTTGGAGTATTTTGATACTATGAATGTGATGTATATGAAAATGTAAATGGAGAGAATAAGTTTATACATATTAATTTAAAGAAATAAGGGAAACATGTTATTTATAAGTTTTATTGCTTGATAAAGTATGGTGATCTATATTATTGTTAGTGCATAAGTTGAGAAGAATTAATTGTACAAGTTTTAATAGGGGAAAGACCATTATATATATAATACGCTAGAGTGACATTTGTGATAACAATATCTAATTTAAATGGACTCTAACTACATACTGACTTTGAAATTGAGTATGGGGTAAGCGTTTTTAGTTCATGCTAAAAGGATAAAGAAGATAAGCAATAAGCACTGATTATTAGTGAGTGAAGTGTTTGTATTGCTTTCTTAAATCTGTAAGTGAAAATCACTTTAGTTTCTTTAGTTTTTTTGCACACGTGTATGAATAAAAATTAATTTTTGTTAGACTACTACATATTCTTCATAAAAGTTTTGATAGTGACTTTTAGGGCAAGAAAGCTCAAACATTCTAGAAAGCAATTAAGAAGTAATATGAAAAAAATTTCTACCTCTAAAGTTTTAGCATCCTAGAAATTAATATAACAATATCCTTAGATTGAGGGATCTTCCTCATTTGCATCTTAATTGCCCAGGTTTTGGTGCTTACATTTTCTCTTTATCTAGATTTTTGAGATTTTTTGTGTGATTTTCATATTACATGGCATTGTGATTTTTTATGTTTTTTCTTGAGTTTGTCAAAGCAACTCATTGATTTTACTCATACAAAGAGATCAGCCAATATGAGGCAATAAGTAAATCTTTAGCTAAGTACTCTCTCTCTCATTTTTTCTTTATATGCTACTATAAGATTTCTTTTGTGCAATTTATTTATTCTTTTTTCTTTTATCCTATGCTTAGAAAAAAATTTGATTAATTGCATACAAGCCTAAAGACTCATTTGGACCATAAATTATAGGTTGACTCATTTAAAGACTCATTTGGACCATAAATTATAGGTTGACTCATTTAAAGACTCATTTGGACCATAAATTATAGGTTGACTCATTTAGAGCATAGATTATGGGTTGATCAAGGTTAGTTATCTTTTTCATTTTGATTTTCAATGTATGGCAATATTGTAATTGGGATCTTTAATAGGTTCAATAGTAAATCTCAATCATGCTCATGCTCACTTGGGAAAATAGGTGGCAATGATTTCAAATCTAGATAGATAAAAATGAACTTCATGCTTGTAGATTTTCAAAAACATGGTAAATTCTAGTTTGAACATGTCTACTAACCAATCTCCACTATTAGCCATCAAACATGAACATTATCAAAGGAAAAAACTTTTGAGTTTGTTGTTGTTTTTTAATATATTCCTTACATTGTTGATAGCAAGTGGGCTATGGATGAATACACATGTTAGATTTTCACACCATATACAACACTTTATATTCCTTATCTACCTTAATTTAGAACCATCTAAAAAGAGGGAAAGTATGAAAAAAAAAACAACTTTGATCATTTTAAGTTTTTAATAGGCAATAACTCACCTATTAAGGTGATCAAGCCACCCATATGGCACTTATGTTCTCGAGAACATGTACTACCTACTAGAGTGAGTTAAGCTCCTAATCACTCTCCTCACCATCACTAAGAGATCCACTTCATGGTTGATGGTCTGGGAGAATGGTGGATTTCACAATCATCAGGCAACTCTAAGAAATCTAGGTAGAGTGCTATTGTAATTCTAGAGAACTGCATTAGAGCAACACAACACCAAACTCTTGCCTTTGATTTGCTGTTGCTGTCATGGAGGAAATCCACTACAGAAATCTGAGCCATACCACATGGCAATTTTCAATTCGACCAACATTACAAGATGCCATATATACCACCTCAATAGGCTTGCCACATGCATGTTAAGGCAGTTCACAAGCATGAGCTCAGAATGTGCCCACTGGGCTAATGCTCGGCTCACCCTTTCCACGCAGGAACAAACTCTATTGATAGTGCTGGATAGACTTGTTCTTCTTTCCCAAGACAAAGAGCATTCTCATCATCTTATTCCCTGCAATTGACCAGGGATCTTCCATAAATCTAGATGAGAGGTTGCCATGCACCCTCAGCATCTAAAGTTGGCACTAGTCTGAGATCAAGGCTCAGCTACCTATTTGGGACTCCAGAGAGTTGTTCCTCTCTTAGTTGCAATGATATTGAATTTGTATTGAATCCTGAGAATATTTCTTGCCTTAAAGAGGGCAAGTGTGTTATGCGTGTACCTTAACCACATTATATGGTTGTATACTGTCCAGTACATATTCCCAGGCAATGCACCAATAAAAAACCCACAATGGAGACAAGATACACCTATAGATGCATGATGTTCCCTTGCCTCTCAACGCAAGCCACTCATCACACGCTCCAGGGCAATCTTTCTCGACACTTCTTTTGCGACTCTTTATTCTTTTGTCTCTCGTCTTTTTTATATGAGGTATATTCCTGGGAATCCACATAGTGAAATTTCCATCATCCACTTTGCGAGCAGCTTTGCACACGGAATCCTAAATTGTGCTTTAGCTGTATTTCTTCAGCAGTTTGTGGATCAGGGCCGGCCCGGTCCTCAGCTTCTGAGGTCCATGATTCTAATTCTTTTATTTATCTTGGCTTAGTTTCCAGAAATAAAGTATTTAGTAAAACTAATTCATCTAACTTGTGAAGAACTGAACTTCTGATGAGCTCATCACCTCCAGGCAAACTCCAGAGTTTCAAGTTCCTGGGCGGTTTTCGTCATCCAATTGGATTTGGTGCATTCACACCGAGCCAGCTCTTTGACCTTCCATGAAACCTGGATATGCTCAAAGGGACTGTCGATGTTCCTTTCTTGAAAGCGATCAATTCCTGAGAACAAGAAACCATTTCGTAATATGAAAAAGACTACAATCTAAATCATGTTAGGCACTGGAAAAACCTTCGATTGGCTGTTCTTTTACCACCCAAAAGTAGAGTTTCCCGTCACTGGATTCTTCACCAAGACGGAGATGGTAACCAAGGAGCTCAAGTTAAACTCATAATCGCCATTACTTACAGTTATCTTTCGAACCCTGAATCCCAGAAACTAGACAAAGGAAATTCCTACTATTAGACGCAAAGAACAATTCCTCGATAGTAGCTCGGTCTCCTAGTTCGATCTTCTATCTGTCCATTCATCCAATGCTCAACAATGGCGTGGATTTTAAATCATCGACTTCCCGCCTCAAGTGCCCTAGCGCTGCTGGCCGTCGGATTAAACCTTTAATCCAACGGTCGGATTTAGGATCTAGGGCGCCAATGGGAGCGGCTTCTTGCGACGGCGATGGCGAGCGCAATGCCGTCGTCGTCGGCCTCCAGCCCGTGGCGCTCGTTGATCACGTCGCCCGCGTCGACTGGGCGATGCTGGAATCTGTTCCGGGCGAGCGCGGCGGCTCAATTCGGGTAAGATATTTAGTCTCCCTCCTCGAAATCCTCAAAGCTCTTGCTCGCTTCCCTCAGGTCACGGCCACGGAGCTAGAAGACATTCTAGCTCAAGTGAACAAGCATGTTCTGCCCAATGGTGATTTCTCCAGTCCAATTCGCACGCTAGCTGGAGGTAGTGTAGCGAATACGCTCCGAGGCTTGGCGGGGGGGCTGGGCGTGAGATGTAAGATGGTCGGTGCTAGAGGCAATGACGAGCAAGGGAAAATGTTCGCTACGAGCATGCGAAGCTTTCAGGTGGATCTTTCGTGCCTGAGAGTAAAGTCTGGACCAACAGGCCAGGTGACTAAAAATTCCTTCTTTTTCTTTCTCTGGGTGTTCTTACTGCTTGTCATTGTTTTAGTGCGTGTGCCTTGTGGATGCTCTTGGCAATCGCACAATGCGGCCTTGTTTATCTGATGCAGTGAGGCTTCAGGTAAATTGATTTTCCTTTTTCGGTTTTCGCAAGTTGTTAAAAGTGTGTCTTGTTGCCATAGGCAAGCGAATTGACTCGCGAGGATTTCAAGGGGATCAAGGTGATATTTGGAAAGCTTGTGTTTTGATACGCAAATTTCCGTGTTTTTTTTTTTTTTTTGGGTTGTCTTTGCAGTGGCTTGTGCTAAATGGCTACGGGTTCTATGGAGAAGAGCTTGTTGAAAGCGCAGCGCATCTCGCCAAACTGGAAGGTGCTCTTGTTTCGATGGATCTCGCTAGCTTTGAGGTTCTGTCAACACAACAAACAATCTCTATAGGGAAAGAAGCTTTGTCGCCTCAAATTCGACTAACTGTCTCTGTTTGCTTGTGTAGGTAGTGAGGAACTTCCGGCCGCGCCTCTTAAAGCTCCTTCAGTCGAGAAAAGTAGATCTTTGCTTCGCAAACGAAGACGAAGCTCGTGAACTCATGGGGTAGTTGTTTTCCATTGCCATATACTCTCGTTTTTACCCGTTCGTTCTTGCAGCGGAGAGCCAGAGTCCACTCCAGAATCGGCATTAAAGTTCCTGTCGCAGTACTGCAACAACGCAGTCGTTATGCTGGGATCAAAGGGCTGCATTGCTCGAAGTGGAGACGAGGTAAAAACAGCTAGAAGAAACAAACTTTGGCTCTACAATCTAAAACAACTGATTTTTATCTTAGGTGGTCCGAGCAAAAGCTGTGGAAGGCGGGTCCGTGGTGGACACAACCGGCGCTGGCGACTTGTTCGCGAGTGGATTCTTATATGGGATGATAAACGGCCTCTCGCTGGATCATTGCTGCAAGCTTGGCTGCTGCACGGGGGCGGCAGTGGTACAAGATTTGGGGGGCGAGATTAAGCAGCAAGGGAAGAAATGGATGCTCCAAAATATGGCGAGCATGGGGCTCCCAGTTTTCCAAGCCTGACGAATTTTTTTCAATCAAAAAGTCCTATTTGCAAGAGGATCAAGAAGAGTTCCACCTGGGAAGTCTAGAGGATCGAACGGGCGACCTGGTGCCTGTGGTTTGTTTTGATTTGTGGGTTGTGAGTGTGGGCTATGGCGAGCAATGCATTGAGCGCGGCGAGCGTGGAGGCCGCGTCGCAAGGGCTCAAGGAGCTGGATCGATTGAGGAGAGAACAAGATGGTCTGATCAAGAAGATCAATAAGATCCACGCCAAGCTCGCAGAGACCCGTAAGTAGATTTCTTTTCTTCTTTCCACTTTCGGCAAAAAAATTACATTTTCTCTAGGACCTTTTTTTCTTCTCGAGGAAGGATGTGATTGAGCTTTAGTTTGCAGAACCAGAGCAAGCCGAGAAGTTCGAAGATAAGTTCTGGAGCAAGCTACGGGATTTGTACAGTCAAGCTAAAGCACTTGCGGACGCCGAAGAAAGGTTTTTTTTTTCTTTCTTCTTTTCGAGGATGATGGTGCTAATTTTTTTTTCGGTCGAACTAGTGCGTCAAATGCTTGTCTAAGCAATCTGGACACTCTCTCGATACCTTCACAAGCTGCTGCTGCTCATCGACGTAAAACTGGTTGGCTCTCTTCTCTCCTGTTCTCTTTTTTGCTAGCTGATGTTTTTCTTGATGGAATGCCAGAGACTGGCGATCAAAAGCGGAAGAGAGCCAAGGCCGATGCAGACTCTTCCAGGCTGAATTCTCCGAACGTTTCTCGGTCGGCTGATTCAATTGGTAAAGCTGTTGGAGACCAGGTCGAGCTTGAAAGTTTTCATTTTCCTTGTTTCTTAGTGATTTTTGCTCGCCTTCCAGGTCGCCGCGAGGATTACTCCTGAAGATTCAGAGAAGAGCGAGTGGATTGTCGTCAAGGTGACGCGCTTTGATCGCGAAACAAACAAGTTAAGTCGATCTTTTTGCTCGTCTTTTTTCACAGTGCTTTGTCTCTCCAGATATGAAGTGATAGACGAAGAGCCTGGGGACGAAGAAGAAAATGGTGGAACCGGTGGACCGAGGTAAAGCAACCGCGACTTTAACATCGCTAATCTTCTCTCATCGCCCTCCAGGAAGTACAAGTTATCTCCCTCCGCAATCATCCAATTCCCAAAACCAGCGACAGCGCTGGATTTTCCAACGGGATCTCAAGTTCTTGCGGTGTATCCAGGCACCACCGCACTGTACAAAGCTACTGTCGTCGGTCCTCATAGAAAAGTAAGCCAGAAAGAATTCCTAGCACTGGTTTTGCGCTGATCGAAACTTGTCTTGCGCGTGCCAAAAAACGAATTTTGATGCATCAGAAAAAAACGGACGAGTAAGTTTTTTTTCTCTATCTCTTGTATCGTGTTAACCGAGACGTCGTTTGCTTTCTTGTTCCAGCTATATTCTAGAATTCGATGACGACGACGAGGATGGATTTCTACCAAAGCGAACAGTGCCATTTTACCACGTTGTCACTCTTCCGGAGGGGCACCGGCAGTAAAGCAACAACAGCCAGTAGCATTGTCACAGTTGATCAGCTGTACCATGTCGCCTGTAACAGTAACATACGAGAAGAAGCTCAACCGGCCAGCAAACATGGTAGAGCAAGTTCACCATAGCATTGCTGGTAAGAGTTGCAATGCTCATCCAGAATTTGTACCATCGGGGATAAGTCCTCTCTAAATCTTGAAAAACCGGTGCCTCCTAATATCTATTACATCCGATTCTAATCTCTAATGATGTCTGGCCATGCACAACTCCAGGCTAAATTCTATTCGGTTGACTGGTAAAGCTTGAAAGTTTTCTTTTTGCCTTTTTCGTTTCTTCGTAACTTGTGCTCGCCTTCCAGGTGATTACTTCTAGGAAGAGCGAGTGGACTGTGGTCAAGGTGACACGCTTTGATCGCAAAAGCTGTCTTTTGCTCGTCTGTTTTCTCATTGTTGGCATGAGTTTGTGCTTATGTTACAGCGCTGTCGTAAGCCAGAACGAATTCCTACCAATCTTGCGCGTATAAAATCGGATCTTGTTGCATCAGAGAGAAAACGAGTTCGATAAACGCATCTGAAAAGATTCTCTGGAATAAGGCAATTTTGGAGACGCGAATACTATAAAAACAATTAGGGCATTGTCGAAAAGCTTGTTCACATTAGGGCCTCTCAAATGCAAAGCGAAGGATTTGAGAGGCAAAGCAGCAGGCCGAGGACGCGCAGCCATGGTCCTGTTCGACGAACTGCGCAGGAAATCGAGCTAGAGGAATACAATTTGGATAGATCTGGATTTCGCCTTCCCTACGACGGTCCCAAGCTCACGAGACCCCTTCAGGGAGAATGGGGATATAAAGAGGTAATTCTTCTGGTCCTGGCATTTGATTTGATCTAGTCTATACAGCTTCCACGCCACAAGCTCTACTACTGGACTCCAAGCGAGTGGCCATCCAAGCCAGATTTTCTGTCGGATGACGAGTACAGGCGCCTAAAAGAGGGGTGGAAACATCCCAATGTCATGATCCCTTATTGCACGGTGGACGACGCAGTGATCGAAGCGATTGACATAAAGGTAGATTACATGGCCCGAGCAATGCTAAACGGGTGGAACACACCTTGAGTTTGTGCATCCGCCAGTTTAAATCGCTCTCTTATGTCTTAGTAAGTTCAACCAAGAGTGAAAGAAGATATGTCGAAACCATGCTCTTCTCATCATGTGGAGTTTGATGCAAAGAATCCCGAGCGCTAATTGAAAATAAGCTCCTGAGCACCAGCGACGCGATTGTAGAGACAAGCAGCGAGATCGCCGAAACATGCAGTGACGATACTTCAATAGAGCAGTCATGACGCGTTTCTCAGTACTGGAACAGGACTTCGCTTAAAAATCCATGACTCGCTGGACAAGGACACTGTGGTGAGTCTTTAAAGCTCGTCTCAGCCGTGCTGGCTGGGTGTTCCATGCTGCTATGGCGTCTCTGAAGATCACGGTCAATTGTCCATAGGACACATAGCTGACGACTGTCTATAAAGAGTAGCCAGCTTGAAATTGAGTACCGTTAAAACAAGCATGATGGAGATAATCTCATTGACATACTCCTGTCTCGAAATAAACTTGGCAGCAGGATCCGATGCAGAACACCTGCCAAAGCTTAAGACAACATGACGAGACTTAAAAGCTTACCAGTGGCACACCCGAAAAACTTTGGCACCGAAGAGGGATGTCTTGGAGGCAGCTGCCGCCGAGGCTTCGAAGGCATTGCCTTTGCGCTGTCGAGATTGTTTATCTCGCAAAAACTCGGATTCTCTCCCAAAGTTCACGGCAGCTTTTTCATCGTTCTCAAGGCACTTTGCAAAGGTTTGGTGTAAATAAACACACAGCACACGTGATTTCATGTGAAAAACATATATATGCGAGCAAAACTTACTTGCATCACTGAGCATTGTTTGATTTAGCCAGTTAAGCCCTGTATAGTTCCTTCCGGTTCATGGATTGGCAATGCAGCGGCAACGGCTGCAAGTTAACACTCTCCTAATGAAGTAGTGATTGCTGTCTCGCAAGCTCCCATCAGTGGAGACAGAGCACGGGCAGTGGCTCAATGCGGTGCTGATGCTTTGCAAAGTTCACGTAAGGATTCAGCACCAAATGCCTTCGCTGTAACACTGAAAGAACAAAGCGAGTGAAGGACAAAACTGATATCGTAGACAAGAAACTGCATACGGATAGAATTCCGCGTGCTGCCAACAAGGCTTGTAGTAAATATTCAGAAACATACACTAACCTTACCTTGAAACAGGAAGCAATAGCTATAAATCTATAAGGAGATAGAGTCGTTTCGAGGCTGCTGCTGCTGTTGCTGGAGGATCCCAGGTTCTTTTCTTTCTTTCTTCTTTCATTTTGATCTTTGATCTTTCATTTTCTAGCTGGTGCCAGATGCAATCGACATGACAAACGAGGCAGCGATATCTCTAGCGTTAGAGCTGTTGATCGCGCTCGCGGAAGAAACAGTACACAGGTCTCATCTTCTCTTTTTTATCTCGGGCTAATGTCAGCAGCGGTATATTCCCTTAAACCATAGGGGTTTTAAACGAAGTTTTGATGTGTTCCTTGGAATTCCTTCTCGAGCCAGTGCACAGCCTTCTCAAACTCTTGCAAGCCTTCCAGCGCTCGGGCCTTTCGACTTGTGCTCTTGACAGGCCGCCATCGATCTTGAGCGCGTTATTGAATCCGCCAGAGCGTGCTGGAAGTCCTCGAGCCTCAGGAAGGCCACGACCCGATGGCAGCAAAACTCCCACCCTGAGGGGCGTGGAGCATGGCAATGGATTCGAGGCTGGGCTTCTCGACGAGGAGCTTGTGATGTGAGTTCACAGGGCGACTGTTGGTAGCAGGAAATGTGATCTCAAGGACGTGGTAAAGGTCTGGTACAACCATGTTCAAATGGTACGTTCATCTCCTCTTTGTTTCTCTTTGGTTGAACTACCATGAGTGTGTTGCGGATTCCAAGCATTTCGTTTCATGAGAACGATTTCGTTCGATCTTATATTGGCGTGGAATTTGGATTTCTAACGAGTATAAGGTCTCAAGTTTTTCGAACAAGCATGACAGATGATATGTTATTCGATCCACACCATCGCATTTTGATATGGTTACGGATTTTAACGTTCCAGTCTGTTTGGTTACTATGGTAATATTTCCGAAAGAACTACTTTGATTTATGATCGTGCAAGAAGGTCAATCGGGGATTGACGCTGTCGTTTGCGATGCGGCAAATCAGAGCGAAGAAAATGCTGCTGGCCAGGAGAGTCGGAGTATACCATCGCTCGCTCCAGAGGGCAGGCAAGCTCAGGAAATATGGGGAATTTCTTAGCTCAGCCGGATCTCATTTCTCAAGGGGCGAAACCTGGTGCAGCTCCAGGCTCAGGATGGTCGTCGATCTCTAAAAAGCTCCGTCCCATTCTTAGATCCTGGAGAATCTGAATCGCAAAGCTCGTGAAAGTGCCCGCCAGCGCAATCGAGGAATTGAAGAAGTCCAAAAGAGGTTTGAGGATGCTGAAAATCGGCATCTAGCATATTTTTAATTTTATGTTTTATTAAATTTTAACTATTTATTAAGTTATATTAAAAATAAAACTAATCTAGGCTTAAGGCTTTTCAATGTCGAGCTCTAAGAGGCGCGGCTTTAACAGGCAAAGCAAGAGGCCGAGGACGCGCAGCCAGGGCCCTGTTCGACGAACTGCGCAGGAAATCGAGTTGGAGTTATACAATTTGGATAGGTCTGGATTTCGCCTCCCCTACGACGGTCCGGAGCTCACGAAACCTCTTCAGGGAGAATGGGGATATAACGAGGTAATTTTCCTTTCTGGTCCTGACATTTGATTTGATCTAGTTCATGTAGCTTCCACGCCACAAGCTCTACTACTGGACTCCAAGCGAGTGGCCATCCAAGCCAGCTTTTCTGTCGGATGACGAGTACAAGCGTCTAAAAGAGTGGAAACGTCCCAAGGTCATGATCCCTCTGTGCACGGTGGACGATGCAGTGCCCCAAGCAATTGAAGAAACGGTAGATTTCATGGGCCGAGCGATGCTAAACGGGTGGAACACACCTTGAGTGTGTACATCTAACTATGTTTTAATAAGTGCTATCATGTTTGCGGATCAATCAGTGAAGCTGTAATGCTCGAAAATCGAAACGATGCTTTGCTAGAGAATTCCCGAGAGCTAGACATTCATTGTAGATTGCTCGAGAAGATCACAAAAACCCATGCCTGAATGCAAAGCTAGAGTGTCTTCAACCCGATCGGGCTATGGTGTGCCCAGGAGGACCCCTTGGAACGACCAACGATGCCTCTGGTGAAAATGCTCGAAGGCGCCGTGGATCTTCTAGCGTTAGTAGCACTGGAGCCTATCTGAGTCTCAGATTTGTTTCACACATTCCAATTTTCTCGTTGTTTCTCGTTCCGCAAAACTTGCTTCAGGTTGAAGATCACGTTTGGGTATCTGGGAGAGAGTACTTAAAAAGTTCATTCCCACCACACGGAAGTTCCTTGTGATCAGGAAATCCAGAAGCATATCAAAGGAGCAATCGATGTCATGCAAAAAACATCGTGGTTATGGTATGGAATAGATGGGGAAATAAAAGTCTCAGCAATCCAGTGGGCTACACTACTGAAGTTTGGTCGTCGTTGACTGATTACTTTGGATTGATTATCTTCTAGCAATCATGTTCCACCCATTCAACAGTGATCGAGCGATGAAACCATCCTCAAGACTTATAGCTTTCAAGTGAGAACTTTAAGACCGTGGCGGAATCTTATTGGCTATAATGGTTTGTTCCAGCATTAACATTAATTTTAAATGATCTATCTCTTTTCCATAGAAAAGCTACATCATCATCATTGAGGACATAGATGATGATGGAAATGTTTTGTCGAGAAACGTATACAGCCCTCCTCCCAGAAGCAAGGCTCCACTACAAAACCAGCACGAAAAAGGTGTAAATACATATAAAAAAAATTCCGTACCTGGTAGGATTGATCCATGCAGAAAACTTCCGAAGCGCTAAAAGTTGCTGCAAACTCTGTGTTAGCAAAGCAAGCCTGATTGAAATGAACGAAATCGAAAAAACCTGAAGAGCACCAGCAAACGATGCTGCGAGTAGCAGTGGTGAGACATAGCCGCTTGTATAGACAAGCAGCAATGCACCACCAGTCACCGGGTCCTGGAAAAGAGAAACGAAAGAATTATGCTCCTATAGAACTCTAGGAACTAAAGCAAACAACCAAGTCACACCTGGGAAGCTGCGACATAGCCGAGTAGAGTCGCAAGAACAGGTGTGCTGCACGGAGAGGCCGCGAGAGCAAACGTTAAACCGGCTAGATAGGCCTGAACACCTGGAGAGATGGAAGAAATCAGTGAAAGTTTATTCTATGCTTAAAGCAGCACGAACTTGTGGGAAGATTGGCAGCAGCAGAGCGAGGATCGAAGTTTCCGAAGAACGATGGGAGTTGCAGCTCAATAATCTGTTGATCATGGAAAGCTATATTAGCTATTGCAGGTTTATAAGCAAAAGTTTGATCACCTCGAGAAGGTTGAGTCCCATAAGCATGGCCAAGCAGGAGACACCGATTGGAAGGCCTTGCCCGATCTGCCCGTAAGCTTTTCCAGCGAGCGATGCCACGATCCCCAGCACCGCGAGCGTTGTCGCCAATCCCATCGAGAATGCAAAAGCATCCACCGCGATCTAAACTTTCCACGAGAAAAAAAAAAGAAGATCAAAGAGAGAGCGAGAGTTTCTTACCTGCGCCTGACTCTTCCCTGACCCCGATGATCCTAGAGTAGTGATAGAGAAAGAAAAAAAAAACCAATTTTTCTTGTCAAGAAACTCACGAAAGTTACCAATGTAGCCGAGCGTCAATGGCAGAACGCTGAGCGTGCATGGCGAGAGGCTCGTCACAAGACCCGCTCCAAAGATGGTTGCGACGCTGGAAAATCAATCCAAAAAGCTTATAGATTTCTCGCGAAAAAGTTTTCTACCTGGCAAGAGAGAGGGCCGATAGTTCCCCTTGCACCGCACTGTTTGCGTCCTGGCCCGCGTTGAAGAGCAAACCACTGAGCCAATCCCCAGCACTCCAGGACGATGCGTCGGCTACCAGCGCTGGAGCCAATTGGATCAAATCGCTACAACCCACCTGGAAACCAATCGATTGATCCAGAAGAGCCAAGGAGAGAAAAAACAAGAGAGAGAGAGAATCACCGCAGCACAAGCCACACCACGGCGCCTCGTGTTGATTCGATTTCCTTCCCATGGCTTTCCAACGCAGCTTCGCTTTCTCAAAAGAGCTCCAAGCTGAGAGCCGGTACAAGCTTGAGCAGCCATAGCCAATATGAATCTCGCTTTTAACTTGTATGATAATAGCTCAGATAGAAAAGAAATGAATCGGTTTTATTGCATCTCTAAACTTCTACGCACAGAATCCGAAGTTAAGTAGCTTTGGCCATAGCTTTGGCCATATGGAGTACAAGATCGACGACACGGTTGCTGCAAAACAGAAAAAAAGTGAAGATCAATACCACGAAGCTCCGAGAAACTGCGAGAAAATTCTCCCACCTGTAGCCCCATTCGTTGTCATACCACGCAACCACCTTTAAAAAGTGGTCGTTCAAGGCGATTCCAGCGCTGGCGTCGAAGATGCTCGACCGGCTGTCACCAATGAAATCGGTCGACACTAGAGCCTCCTCCGTGTAGCCGAGAATGCCCTTGAGATTCCCCTCAGACTCGGCCCTGTCAAAGGTTTTAGTTGGAGAAACTAAGCTTTTCCTTGCACGAACTCACTTCATTGCCTGCTTGATCTCCTCGTAAGAGGCGCCCTTCTCCAAGCGGACAGTAAGATCCACGACGGAAACGTCTGGGGTTGGGACCCGGAAGGCCATTCCAGTGAGCTTTCCATTCAGAGCAGGCAAAACCTTGCCCACGGCCTAGAGAAACAAAACAGTCATTCCAACGGGAACTTTATAGAACAGGAAGATTACCTTGGCAGCTCCGGTTGAGCTCGGGATGATGTTGAAGCCAGCACCCCTTCCACCACGCCAATCCTTGGACGATGGCCCATCAACAGTCTTTTGGGTTGCTGTTTCCACAAGCGTCAACCAAGTGATTGTAACAAAAGCATAAAATACTAACCAGTTAGCGAGTGCACAGTGGTCATGAGGCCCTCCACGATGCCGAACTTGTCATGGATGACCTGGAGAAGATTATCAGAAACATCGAACAGTCGAGAAACTGTGACGGAAAGACAATGGAAGCTCGCAACACACCTTCGCAAGAGGTGCAAGACAATTGGTAGTGCAACTCGCGTTGGAAACGATGTCCATATCGTCTTTGTATTCGCTCTCGTTCACACCCACGACGAACATTGGCGCATCCTTGCTAGGAGCGGAGATCACCACTTTCTTCGCTCCACCCTATGAAAGAAAAACCAAGCGTGAAAACTCATCTCCATCGAAAAGCTTGGTGAAAGTTTCTAAAGCTTACCTTGAGATGGGCCGAGGCCTTTTCCTTCTCAGTGAACACGCCAGTGGATTCCACCACGAAGTCGGCACCCAATTTCCCCCATGGAATATCTGCGGGATCCCTGTAGGAAAAGAAAGAGAGTCAATGAGAGAGGGAGACGTGTTCTTCTTACTTGCAAGCAAAAGCCTTCACGGGCTTGCCGCCAAAGGAGAGCGTCTCGGAGTCCTTGACCTCCACATCCTCCCTCTTCCACTTTCCATGGACGCTATCATACTTAAACATGTAGGCCTGGGAGAAAGAAATCCAAGCGATTGGAGAGGGAAATCCACCAAGAACAGCGATATTACCATGTAATCCGTGCTGATGAATGGATCGTTGACTGCCACGAGCTCGATGTCGTCGCGAAAGAGCGCGACGCGGGCCACAAGCCTGCCAATCCGGCCAAATCCTGCAAGGAAACAGCGATCCAGTGAGGATCGATCAATCGATCGATCGTGACGGCGTACCATTGATTCCAAGCTTCACCTTGTTGCCTTCGGAACCTGGAAGAGAGAAAAGCAGAGAAGATCGATCGTCAGCGGCTGGCCTAGCACTGGATCGGGGCAGAGAAATTCCATACCCATTGCAAGAGGAAGGAGAATATGACGATCGCGAGTGAGACGAGGTGGGAGAACTTTTAGCTGATCAGTAAAAACCTAGAAGGCCACGCGCTCATTTCTAAGGCCTGCCACGTAACATACGTGGCATGCAGCTATTTTCGCTTACTTGAACCCTATTATTTTTTGGCGGCCAGGTTTCGATTCCAGCGAACCTTCCTTAGAATGTAACCGGAAATAGAAGAAATGTAAAAAATAAGCCCTAAGAGAATATGCTAAGAATCATGAATCGTGGCCGCTAGATGCGATCGACGGCTGGTGTGTTTGCTAGGTCGGGATTTTGCTCGACGGCTAGGGTTTAGAGGGATTTTGGACAGGGGCGGAGGAGCGCGGCGCCGCCATGAGCCACCGGAAGTTCGAGCATCCCCGGCATGGATCTCTGGGCTTCCTTCCCAGGAAGCGTGCCCAGCGCCATCGCGGCAAAGGTATGTGTGCTCGTTTTCTCGATTTCTCTTCTCCCGAATTTCATACATTTTCTCTTGGTAGTGAAATCCTTCCCTCGGGATGATCCTACGAAGAAGCCCCATTTGACAGCCTTCATGGGATACAAGGCCGGTATGACTCATATCGTCCGGGAGGTCGAGAAGCCAGGATCTAGTAAGTCCGCTGTTCTTCCCATTTCGAGAGCTAAATTTCGCGTTCATTTGTCCAGAGCTCCACAAGAAGGAGACCTGCGAGGCTGTGACCATCATCGAGACACCACCGCTCATTATCGTCGGAGTGGTGGCGTACATTAAGACTCCTCGCGGCCTGCGCTCTCTCAACACGGTCTGGGCTCAGCACTTGAGCGACGATCTCAAGAGGAGGTTCTACAAGAACTTCTACAAGTCGAAGAAGAAGGCGTTCACCAAGTACGCGAAGAAGTATGACACCGACGAAGGAAAGAAGGGCATCGAACACGAACTGGAGCGTATGAAGAAGTACGGCTCTGTGATCCGAGTCCTCGCTCACACCAAGGTATGAAAACTCTCGATCCAGAAACAATTGACTCGTGCTAATGTTTGAGAACTATCCCCAGGTTCGCAACCTCAAGGGCATCAAGCAGAAGAAGGCCCATCTCATGGAGATTCAGGTGAACGGAGGCACGACCGCGGAGAAGGTTGACTTTGCGTATAACTTCTTCGAGAAGGCCGTGCCGATCGACAGTGTCTTCCGCAAGGATGAGATGATTGACGTGATCGGAGTCACCAAGGGTCACGGCTACGAGGGTGTGGTGACGAGATGGGGGGTTACCAGGTTGCCCCGGAAGACTCACAGGGGTCTGCGAAAGGTTGCTTGTATCGGAGCGTGGCATCCAGCTCGCGTTTCGTTCACGGTTGCCAGGGCCGGTCAGAACGGGTAAGTTTTCACAGTTGGTTCTCTCGGATTGTACTAAATTTTGTTCTATATTCTCGCAGATACCATCACCGTACCGAGATGAACAAGAAGATCTACAAGATCGGCAAGCAGGGGCAGGAGTCTCACAAGGCAAGCACGGAGTTCGACACGACCGACAAAGATATCACGCCGATGGGTGGCTTTGCACACTACGGTGTTGTCAACGAGGATTATATCATGATCAAGGGGTGCTGCATGGGCGTGAGGAAGCGCGTCATCACTCTCCGCCAGTCTTTGTGGAAACAGACCTCTCGCAATGCTCTGGAGGATATCAAGCTCAAGTTCGTGGACACCTCCTCCAAGTTTGGACACGGCCGCTTCCAGACATCGCTGGAGAAGGCCAAGGTTTTTGGAAAGGTCAAGGCTTAGAGTGGAAGAGCCTTGGTTTGTTTCTCTCTCTCTCTTAAAATTTTGCTGATCTTTCGTCCTCCCTTATCTATGAAATCTCGCGCTCATTCGAGAGTCAAAAAATGTCAATGAAAGTCAATGGCTGACTGGATTTTGGATTTTGGATCACACGAAATTTCAGCCGTCCATTTGGATCACATGCAATTTCAGCCGTCCACTTGGATCACATGCAATTTCAGCCGTCCATTGGCTTGCAATGGAAGGAGACGAAGCACGGCGATGGGGATGGCGATGGCGAGATTGCTTTGCTCGCTGCGCGCCTGCGATCGTGCAGAGATGCCGGGGATCTGTCGCAATGCCGTGCAATTCACGCGGAGATCTTGGAGAGCTCCTTCCACCGCAACAAGTTCCTGCGCAATCTCCTCGTCGAGGCGTATGGCAGCTGCGGCAGCGTCCCGAGCGCGCGCCTGGTGTTTGATTCCATCGACCGCCCCAATCTCTTCTCGTGGAACATACTGATCAAGGTCTACGCCGGCAATGGATTCCCGCGGGAGGCACTGGAAATCTATGCGCGGATGCAACGCGACGGGACTCTCCAGCTCAACGCACATACGTATGCCACAGTTCTGGGTGTTTGCTGGGATCTGGAGCTGGGAAGAGAGATCCACTCCAAAATCCTGGAAGCTGGGCACGAATCTAACGAAGTTGTGGCAAATGGGCTCATCACGATGTACGCGAGATGCGGCAGCGTGGAGGAATCGAGAGCCGTCTTTGATAAAATCCGTGATCCCAATGTAGTCTCTTGGACGAGCATGATCACAGCTTATTCCCAAAACGGGCATTTGGAGGAGGCGAAAGAGCTGCTCGATAGAATGCCGGAACCCAAAACCTATGCTTGCAATGTTCTAATCGCTGCACTCTGCAAGAGGGGTTTCATGGATCGAGCGAAGGATATATTTGATTCTCTGCCAGATCCTGATGTGGTGTCTAGAACCTCGATGCTTGTAGCATATGCCCGGTCTGGGCATCTGTATGAAGCGAGGCAAGTATTTGATGACATGAATGAGAGGAATGTTGTTTCGTGGAATGCGATGATCACTGGATATACACAAACGGGATTCTTGAGAGAAGCTTGGTATTTGTTTCAGAAAATGCCGATTAAAGATACCGTCTCCTGGACGACCATGCTAACAGCATATGCCCAAAGCAAGAACTTGCGAGCAGCGAAGGAACTCTTTGATAAGATGGGAACAAAAGATCTTGTCTCGTGGAACGCGATGCTTGGGGCGTACTCTCACAGCGGTGTTGTTGTGGAGGCTAAAGATCTGTTCGATCAAATCCCAGAGAAAGATACCGTGTCCTGGAACACGTTGCTTGGAGCATATGCTTTGCATGGGCATGTTTCTCAAGCCGAGGCCCTGTTTGCCGAGATTCCATGCCCGAATCCAATTTCCTGGAACACCATGCTCACGTCCTACGCATTCAACGATCGATTACAAGATGCCGAGTTGATGTTTGAGAGAATGAGGGATAAAAACGCGGTGTCCTGGAACATCCTGATCGCAGCATTTGCCGAGAAGGGGCAAGCGAAGAAGGCGATTGCGTTGGTCGTGAGGAAAGATCTGGAGGGATATCCCACAGACAAGTATACGCTTATTGGGATCTTCGATGCTTGTACGAGCTTGGGTGTGGCGGAAGATGGCAAGGCAGTCCATATGAGCGTTGTCGAGGCGGGCATCTTGTTCGACGATGCAGTTGGCGAGAGCCTCATCAACATGTACGCAAAGTGTGGTAGCCTGGACGACGCGAGAGCCCTCTTCGATAAATCCTCGAAGAACTCTGTCGACATCGCGGCGTGGAACTCGTTCATGGCTGCTTGCTCCACCGCCGGCTCTGGAGCCGAGGCGCTGGAGATATTCCAGACGCTGGACCAGCACGGCCTTGAGCCGGACCACATCTCGTTCGTGAGGATTCTCTCGGCTTGCAGCCACGCCGGGATGATAGAGCACGCCAGGAGCTACTTCTCGTCCATCCCGGGGGACTATCACTCGGGAGTCACGATGGATCACTACCTGTGCATGGTTGACATGCTGGGTCGATCCGGGCGATTGAAACAAGCCCGGGAGCTGCTGGATTCCATGCCGTTTGAGCCCGACGTTATCGCATGGATGACGCTCCTCTCCGCTTGCAGTAACCACGGTGACACCACAGGTGGGATCGTGTCTGCTCGCCGGATAATCGAGCTCGAGCCCCAGACTAGCGGTCCATTCATCCTCCTCTCAAACATCTACAAGCAACTTGGGGGAACTCGAAAATCCGCCTTTTAACATCATTTGGCTCAAATAATAATAATGTAAAGAAGTGCACTGTGGCTCATTAGAAATATTTCCTTTTTAGCTGAACTATCATGTATGTTTTGCCACGAAGTGTCTAGAGCTCTTGGTTTATTCAAAACATTCTCAAAGCATTTTGGCATAGCATTTTTTATTGTATGCCCCATGCTCATGATAAGTGAGTTCCATGCAAAGAAGGAAGCGGTGCCATGCGCAAAAGGTCTTTTGCTTCTTCCATCCTCTTGTTGTGAGTATAAGCCACCACATTGCCTAAGTCTGGCTCTTCAATGGAAAAGAGGTTCCATACTGAGTGTAGAACACCAACCTTAGTGTCCTTGACTTCGCATAGAGGCTGTGCTAGCTTCTTCCACATAGCAAGTGATCCACAAGAAGATCATGATCAAAGTCGAAGAGGGAGGAGAAAGAAAATGCATGGCACCTTGCAGCCCTTATGTGAGCATTGTGTTTGAGATCAGAGTTTGCTAGCAGAAAGACGCTTCTCGATGACTTCTCTTCAAATTCAGATCTGTCCATCAAAACCGTGACAGGGATTAATCTCTATGTGCTAACCGACCCGCAGCAAGCCTACAGCTTGTTGGCCGGATCAAAGCTACAATAAGGAGCCACTCATGATCATATCGTTGGCAACAGTACGAAGTTTAGTCGATGATCTGGGGAGCAGTGAGCTCGCGAAGTCCTCATTCCTGGTGGCCAAGTTGCTGATGGTAAGGAATTAATCAAGACCGTGACATTGAACAGCGTATGGTGATTACGATTTTTAAAACATAAAAAAAGAAATAAATCACAGTTGGTGGCCGATATCTTCTTCCTCGTGATCGTTTTCGTCAGTCTGCAAGGCACTAAGTCAGGATAATAGGTATGATGGAGGCTGTCACAACCATCAAATAAGAATCTGAACCATACAAACAGCATAAAAACAAGAATATGCTAAAACTGGAAAATATGCTAAATTAGGACTTTATAAATTAGTTTAATTAGACTAATTTAACACTAAGCATTTCAACCAACAAATTCAAAAACCTTGCTGACAAACTCTAGCTACAAAATTTAACTTCTAACTCTACTGACCTTCCTGTGTTAGTTGTAGGCCTCCTCTTGAAGCACATGCACCATGCTCCAACTTTGATGGTTTTTATATCCTTCAAAAGGTGTTTTACCATTTATAGAATGGTAATTTTTATAAAAACTTTATGAACAATTATAAATTTAGTATGATTTTTAACCATAAAATACTGTTAATAAAGAGTTACACATATAAAGTACTAGGTAAATGGACAGATTATTTCCCATGTTTTGAGCTATGAGGTATTTATGCTTATAAAACATCATTGAACTTGATTGTATTTTATATTTATAAGTGAAAAGTAAATCTCAAACAAACCCTTCAAAAGAAAAAATGAGTTATTCTTCAAAGTTGAGACATGGCTTATGCCACAACCTACTCATTTGTGTTGTGCTTGTTTGTTTTAAATGATTCTCACAACAATAAGAAATGATAACATTAACTTTAACCAAAAACTACAAATATTAAACTAATTTAATGTTTAATTCTTAGTGTGAAGAACTTGAAACAAAATTTGAACATTATATTAAGTTGATAAAACTTAATGTAATGTAAATTTAAAAAGGTAAGCAGAGAAACAAGGTGATACCCTTTTTGTGAAGAAGTGAAGGATCATAATAGGTAAGTATTAAAACATTAAATTAAAGGCATTATCCTAATTTAATATTTGCTAGATATTTTAAGAGAAACATAGTATATTATTTAAACAATTAACTACTTTAAATTCATAAATGATTTAAAGTGTATGTTATTATATCGATGATTATCTTAGAATTTAGGTGCCATTTATTAAATTTAGCTACTCATATTATTTCTTGCACCATTGCAAATTATATTTTTTAACAAGAACATAAATTAAAATATATGAATAAAAGAAAACTATAATATAATTTGTGAGGTCTAGGTGGATGACTATGATAATGTATACTATTATTAATGTAGTGGGATTTTGGTAGTTATTAGATTAATTTCAATTTAGACCACTTGTTTTTATATATAACTTAGAGTTTCCAGCCTAATCGAATATGCATATTTCTGTATTTCATTTTTATACTTCATGCTTCATATTAGTGAGGATGAGGGCCAGCTCTAATTGTCCTTGAAGAGTGTATGGATTTATAATTTTTGTTTAGATCTATTTTTTTGCATTATTTAAATCTCTTTTGTTTTATACCTTTTTAATTTCTTCTCCTTTGTTTTTTCTTCTTTTTGTTCATCTCTATGGTAGAGTAATAGCTTCCTCCTTTGAATTTAGAGTAGCAATTGATACAATTGCTTGATGGTTTATAGTTGCAATTGAACAATTAGACTTAATTGATGGCAATATTTATAGTGTGTGGTGCAGCTCCTTTTGCTCTTACTATCAATCTTTGTGTTTAGCCAGAGTTCTTCTATGAAAATCTTAAAGATGATATATACCATTAGTTCAATCACTTTAAAGTGATTGCCCTTTATCATTTTTAAAATGATGCTTGGCATTTATACAAGTTTACCATATATCTCTAAGAGATAATGTTGCAATGGTACAATGGTTTAAACACAACCACTTATGCAAATTGAAACCTTCTTTAAGGCATATTTAAATATTTGACAATTTTAATGATTCTTTCCAAAAATTGCATCATCTCCATTAAGGGTTGCCTTTAGAGCCTTTTGCTTTACGCAAAGCTAACTATATTAAAGTGAATCAAGTTGAGAATGTTGTGACTAATGTTTCGTCAAGATTTTGTAAAACTTGTGTATGCATTTGCTCCTACCACCATTGACAATGTTTTTCAACGGGCAAAATACTATGAGCCATCACCTTTTCTATTTATTGTTGGCCATGATATCCACTGCTGGTCGTGTGATAAAGTTGGGCATATATATTGGCATTGTGATGTTTAGTGTTGGGTGTGTGATGAGAGTGGCCACACATATTAGCATTATCGGCGTTTTCCAGATTAGCATTTTCTATTTCTTGAGTGGAGTCTCATCAACAACATTCTATTAAGGCTATTACAATAAAAAGTCTTGATATAATGATTTTTTGGGAAATGAAAAATTGCATGAGTAATGAAGGGTCTTTGTACAAATAAGTTAATGACCCTTCCATTATTCTTTTAGGAGTACTATTAAGGAGTGCATTCAACACTAATTCATCTAATATTTTCTTTTCAAACTCATTTTTATCTTTTATTATTTTCTCTGTGTTAGTTAATACAAGCTCAAGGTTATCTTTTATTGCTTGGCATGTTGCCACATATTGCCATCTATAGTTATATCATGTGGTAGAGCTAGTTTTTATTCTTTATAGCAATGGTCATACACATGTATATATATAAGATAAAGTAAATCTAGTTATGCATGTGGGTGATTTTGAGCTTATGATTCATTGTTGCAAATGGTGCCAAATTAATTTTTTTACTTTAATTATAGGATAGATTAGTTGCAATGCAATTATGCTAAGTATTAATTTAAGGCTTTTCCCCCTTGTTTTATACTTCCTCATTTTTTTTCAATTCCTTTCACTTTTGTTTTACTTCGTCCTTCTGCTTTTACTTCTACTTCCATCACTTTTATTTTTTTATTACTTTCTTCTGTATTGTTATCTTGCTCCTCCATACTCTCTCTATCCCTTTGACAATCTTTGTGTTGTAACAGTTGACTAACTCAAGAAGAATTATGCTACTTTTTTCAACTATGACTTGTTGTTTAGGGTTAAGATTACAATACATCATTCTATTCCAAATGAAAATGCTAATCTAATCAAGTTCCTATTTGACTATCGGTCATCAAAGAAGATCAAAAGAGATCTTTATTTTATGGAAATTAATCTTAATGATAAATTATGGCTAGTGGTGCCTTTGATATTTATTCCATACTTTCTCTACATTTACAATAACTCTCTTATTCTAAATAAGCATATTATGTGACTAAGAAACTAAATAGATCTTTCTATTGGTTAGAGATGCAATATGATATTATTCAGTATGTGTGTAATTGCATTTGGTGCCAAGCTTGTAATACTTCCCCTCATTTTATGGAAAAATAGTTAAAGTCATTTGTAATTTTCCATCTGTTTAAGTTGGTGGCATTTGATGTAATAGAGCCTTTTCCACGGTTAACTACTAGCAATGAATATATTATTATTGTTTATGACTATTTGACTCGCTAAGTGGAAGTTGGTGTTCTTGCTAGTGTGCTTACAACTATTGTTGAATACTTCCTCTTAAATTGAGTAATGTTCCAACATTTCTATCTTGAGTGAATTCTTTAGGATAATGGTTCTATATTTATGGATAAGGCATTTCACACTTTAATCTCTTGGCTGGGGATACACCACATTTTCACGAGTGTTTATCATCCACAGTCAGATGGTTTGGCAAAATGATTTTTTCAGACCTTTAGAAAGATAATTGCAAAGTTTGTAAACTTTCAATATTTGAATTGGGATGGTTATTTGCCATCTCTGTGGTATATATATGTCATAAAAGTACAAAGTTCTATTAGTGTTTCACCATATAAACTCTTATATAGTTATGATTTGATACTATCATCGGAGTTGAGTTTACCTTTGCAATTGCCAAAAACTATGGATACTAGGTCTTAGGATTAGTATTTACTGATTATTCTTCCACTGATTTCAGTGAAGTCTATTGAATATTTAGGCTGTATATAAGTGGGACAACAACAAACTATAACTCCCATGATTATTTATTTGTAGAGTATAAAGTGAATGATATGATGTTAATTTTTTTTCTTAATTTTATAGCATATGTTTTGTCTAAGGGGCTCTTTACTTAGTGTAAAGGACTATATTGAGTATTGTGGCAAGTTAGATTGTAAATTTATAAAATTCGGCATAACATTCAATAAGTTGATCCTCTATAAATTATGCATATTCACCAATTAAAGTGTTTAATACAAAGGGATCAGGAACAATTTGCATCATTCATAAATCCATTAGTACCTTTTCTTAATATTCCTTTAGATCCTAACTTATGAACCAAAAATCTTAATTGCCTTCCATCCTTCTGAGAGGAAAGAATGATATGAGGTCCAAGTGTACAGTTATGATGCGATATACTATTATTAACGAAGAGCTATTGCATTTGTTTTAATCAAGACCATTTAGTTTTATATATGAGCTAGGGTTTTCTTGTTAATCAAATATAGTCATTTTGGTATTTTATTTCTCACAAAATAATATTAAATTTTAGTTTATAAAGTATTTATTCAATTATTTATAATTTTTAAAATTTGATAGTACAGAAAAAAGGTTAATTACATTACAAGGTCTTAAGATGAAAAGAAATTTAAGTCTTAATGAAGTTTATGTTTTAGTATAGATAGTGGTATGTTTTATATTGAGAAGTAAACTTTTTACTTCCCTATAAGTATTTATAAATAAATAAATTTAAGTTTAAATATAAAAAATTTAATGTTTTATACCACTAAATATACATTTAGAAATTATTGAATATTGTGAAATGCAATAATTAGTATTATAGAAATTTCATTGTCACATGCATTATTGGAATTACATATATACTATTTTTTCTAAATTTAAATTAAGACTTCTGATTGTATAGATCAATTTTATATAAATTAACATATAATAAAAATTAATATATATAGTTTAGTTTAATTCATAATTTTGTTTCAAATGATTTGTTATTTTATTATTTTGTAGCATGATGGCAATGTTGTTATTTTTGGCTAAAGGTGCTTTCCGATGAGATCAGGGGTTTAGAAATTTAGGGCTGGTATATAGTCTAGAGATCGAAGTTATGGAGGAGCGTGCGAGCGACGACATTCAAGCTTCTTCGTCTTCCTCATGGCTGCTTGCGCTGATGGGTGAGACGAACTTCTTCAAGGGTTGCCCGACCCATCCAGACGTCGGTCCGGGTAATCGAAAGCTCGCCTCGTTTTGCCGTGCCTGCGAGAAAGCCCTTTGCAAGGAGTGCGACCAGCGCGATCACAAGGCCTGCAAGCCAAACATCCTGCAGGTCCTCAGCGCGTCCAGGTTTGCGGCGTTGAAGGTCGACGACATCGCGCCCCTGATCGACACCTCCGGCCTGGAGACGTTCAAGATCAACGGCAACTACATCCACTTCCTGCACGGGAGGCCGCGAAATGCAACCTTGGCAAACAAGAACCAGTGCCGCCATTGCAATAGGGTGCTCCTCACCACGGTCTCGCTCTACTGCTCGATCCAGTGTAAGTATCGCTGCAATGCCGATCTCGCGCCGAGACCGCTGGCTCGGCCAGTCCAGCCCGAAGATTTTCAAGCCAGGGCTGCTCGCGTGGTCCGACACCCGCAAGACCATCGTAACTTTGTGGAAAATCGAGAAGCCCTAAAGATCGAGGTTGATCAACAAACGCTAGAAATGGCCAACGTACTCGAGGCCATCTTGGTCAAGGTGCCGAAGCGCAAGAGGGTGTCTGACGCTAATCAAAGGGTTGCCACCATTTTTTGCCAGAGGGTGTGTGACGATGATCAGAGGGTCGACCAACTGGCCATGAGTAAGAAGCGGAGGAGAGGCTCGCAACCGGAACCGGAGGAAGATCGAAAACGAAGCAAGCGGAGGAACTCTCGGCGGGAGAAAGAGGAGATGGATCCTTGGGCCCTGGAGGATCAGGAGAGAGAGTTCTGGACGTTCCCGAGGAATGGAAGATCGCCCTCCTTCTAAGACAGCTTTGAAGTTTGTTGTAAGCTTAAGTTAACTGCGCTCGATCGATCTCTAAGAATAGTTTTGTGTATTCCAAGTTTGTTGTAAACATGGTGTATTTACTTTCTTTTTTTCTCAAGAAGATCTTCTCTATCGACCATTTTCTCAAGAAGATCGTCAATCCAATGTTGTCTGGTACATGTTTCGCATAAACACATAAGCCACGGCCTGGTCGCGATCCAGTTCCACGAGCGCGTCAAAAGCTAGCTTCCCAAGCTCGGCATTCTTCCACCTCTGGCAAGCTCCCAAGATGGTCCTCCAGATCAAAACTCCCGGCTTGAGAGTCATCGACCTCGCCATCTCCACCGCCGCCTCCACCTGGTTCGCGCGGCAAAGCATGTCCACCATGCACACGTAGTGCTCCATCCCCGGGACGATCCCAAACTTGGAAGCCATGGCGTGGAAGCACCGCTCGCCCGAGTGGACGAGCCCGGCATGGCTGCACGCCGCGAGAACGCAAAGAAGCGCCACACCGTCGGGCTTGACGCCCTCGTCCACCATCTCTCCAAAGAGCTCAAGAACACGCCGGCTCTCCCCCTCCCGGCCATACGCGCCGAGCAAGGCCGTCCAGGCCATCAGATCCTCGGAGCTCGAGCGCGAGGAATCGAAGAGCCGCTGGGCAGCCGCGAGATCGCCACACTTCCCATGAACGTCGATCAAAGAGTTTGCCAGGGGCGCGTAGCTCTCGAGCCCGGAACGCGACAAATCCGCGTGGATGGCCCGCGCGGCGTCCAGCGCCGCCGCCGCGCCACACGCCGAGAGCGCCGCCAGGAAGAGCTGTGGATCCGGCGGTCGCTGGAGGCGGAGGCGGGCGAAGATCTCCAGCGCCGCCTCCGCCTCGCCGCTCTCGGCGTAGCCGACCATCAGGCGCGTCCACGGCACGAACTCTCCCACCGGTAGAGCGTCGCAAAGTTTGCGAGCCTCCGCCAGCCCGCCGCCGCGATGCTCCGCCACTCCTCCGCCACCACACTTGGCATACATCTCCACCAGCGCGCTCGCCACAAAGCCATCCAAGGCGAGGCCCAGCTCCGCCGCTCGCGCGTGGATCTCCACGCCGCGATCGAGCAGCCCGAGCTCCCCGCACGCCTTGATCGCCGCCACGATCGAGCCGCGAGCGTCGGCAGCTCCTCCAGTGCTGGAAAAGAGCTCCAGCGCTACGTGGGCCTGGCCGTGATCGACGTAGCCGAGCATCATCGCGTTCCACGACGCGGCGGAGTGGAGCTCCATGCGATCGAACGCAATCCTCGCGTCGAGCAGGCTGCCACACCGCGCGTAGAGATCGATGAGCGTGGTCGCGACAAGGGTGTTTGTTCCAAGCCCGGATCTCCACGCTCGAGCGTGGATCCTCATCGCCCTCGCCAGGGAATCCATCTTCATCTTCATCCCGGCTATGGAGCTCGATTCTTCCTCCTTGATCGAGAGCCGCGAGCACGCCTTGACCGCCGCCACGAGCGTGAGCTCGTTTGGCGAGTGGAATCGATCGAAAGCGTCGAGGGCGATCGCCTCCTCTCCATTCTCGCCATAGCCGGAGATGAGCGCCGTCCAGGAGACCACGTCCTTCTCCTCCATAGCGTCGAAGATCCGGCGAGCCATCGCCATGGCGCCACACTTGGCATACATATCCACCAGCCCGTTGGCCACGAAGCTCTCGCGATCCATGCCACTCTCCCCTGCGATCCTCCCAATCTCCATCGCCTCGAGCGAGCTCTCCCGGCCCTCCTCGCGATCGATCCGTGTAGCGAGCATGGAGCACGCCTTGATCGCCGCGACGAAACCCCGGGAATCCACCGCGCAGCAGCGATGGAAGAGCTCGATCGCCACCTCCGGCGACCCATTCTCGGCGAATCCCAGCATGAGCGCGTTCCAGGACGAGGCGCTGCGCTGGGGCATTGCATCAAACACCCCGCGAGCTTCGATCAACCGCCCAGCCTTGCAGTAGAAATCCACGATCGCGTTGGCGACGAAGACGTTGGCGTCACAGCCGGCTCTCCTCGCCTGGCGATGGATCGCGATCCCTCGATCCAGGAACGCGGATGATCCGCCACTATCTCGATCGATTCCACCGCTGCAAGCCTTGATCGCCGCGACGAAGCTCCCGGCGTTGGTCTCTTCCATCCTCGAGAAGAGCTCGAGCGCGAGCTCTGGATGCCCATTGCGGGCATAGCCGATGAGCAGCGAGTTCCACGCAACCACGTCCCGGCGAGGCCCCATCTCCTCGAAAGCTCGCTTCGCAAGATCCATGCGTGCGCATCGCGCGTACATGGTGACGATCGAGCTCGCGACGAAGACGTTGCTGCTGCTGCTGGAGGCGAGATTGGCAATGGCGTCGCCCATCTCGAGATCGCGCAGGGCGGTACATGCCTGGAGCGCCGGGAGGAGGAGATGGAAGTCGTGGTGTTCTTGGGCGATGCTAGGCTGGGAGGCATGGCGGAGATGGGTCGAACGAGATTGAGCTACTGCGATCGAGGAGAGCCCGAGAACATACCGCGCAAGGACGAGACGATCGCGAGAGCACCGCTCACACAAGAACATCCATGCCCTAGCCAAGCGGCTAGAGCCAAGGACCACATTCTCGCTGAAAATTTCTTGGCAAGCCCATCACATCCTCCGGAGAAATGCTTTTCGATCCAGCTCGCGGTGGAGAACGCTAGAAGAACCATAGCAATTTTCACCTGGAAGATCTATACAACTAAGATCACGAGGAGAGAAGAACAAAAGAAACGAAGAAGAAAAAACACGAGAAAAACTTCTTACTACACATTCCTTCGAAACATGATATCCTCGGGAACAACTCTGGAATCACGCTGATAAGCTCGAGAGAAATCGAAAGGAAAAGCGAGTTAAAAAGAAGCTTACAACTCTGGTGGAGCTCTCACGGAATGCGGTGGAACCAATCCCAGAGGAAAGTTATGTCCCCAGCTCGTCTTAGCACCATGGCCTGCAAAACCTGCGCAGCAGCAGACATGGAAACGCACAGTATCGGTGAGAAAACCTCCATCCCCTGAAAGCTTGTAGAAATACCGTAGTACTTGTAGTAATTGTACTTTGAAGTTGCCGGATGAACCGATGAGTCGGAAGCTTGATCCCTGTCCTGCCGCTGCTTTCGCCACTTCTTCTTGACTCGCCTCGGCCGCGGCGGAGGGATGACATCGTCGAGCTGCGTCTGCGAGCTCCCGGGGCGCTCCATCATCTTGCACTTGTCGCAAAACTCGTCGTCGTCGAGATCTTCTTCCTGGCGGTAGCGTTGCGATTGTTTGTCTTCGTAGCGTTGCTGGTGTTCGTCTTCGTAACGTTGCTGGTGTTTGTTTTCGTAGCGCTGGCGTTTATCTTCGTATCGCTGGGTATCTTCTTCATTGTCTCGACTTGGCGATGGACTTCTCCTGTGGATTCGATCGTGCCGTGAGAAAAAGGAGAAAAACGAGAAGACTCTCTTGGATACCTGATGTAAATGTTAAAGACTTTGTGTGCCGGCGAGCTTCTTCCAGTGTCGTCCTTCTTCCCTACGTAGATCTTGCCTTCGTACGCTTTTCGGTCGCCATACGAAGATCTTCCGGGAGAGCTTTGAGCCCGGTCGTGCTCGCAGCGAGAGGTTGTAAGCGGGGTCTCGTCGTCGTAGTACTCTCCACGACACGTCTTGTTTCCGCGAGGGCTGCTTTTATTGCTGCGAGGACTGATTCTAGGACTCTCTGAAATAAAAAGAAGAAGAAACAATCAGCAACTTCGATCAATTGACTTTTTATTTTTTACCGAACTTGGGATGTTGGAAGAGAGATCACAAGAGATCACCAGGCTTTTGATCGCGTTTTTGTAGCCGGAGTTGCTCCACCTCGCTCCGGCACTCCTCCAGCTGCTTGGTAAGCAACTCCCATTTCTTCTCGCATTTCTCGTGCAGCGCCTCGAGATTTAGATTGGGCACGGTCTGTGGCCGCTGCTGCTGCTGCTGCTTTTGCTTCTCCGCCAGCGCCTAGAACAAGAAACCAAGAAACAAAAAATTTCCATCGTTTCGTTTAGTCGCTTGCTTGCGCCCATTGAAATCACGGCTACTCAAAAACCCTGGCGACCCATGATCGATCACTCTGGGGGATCTAGCCTAGGGCTGGAAGCGTACCTCGGCGCGCCTGGCCACCGCCGCCGACGCTGGGCGGGAGAGCTTGTAGAAATTTCCATACTCCATGTTGCAAGTGAGCCATCGATCGGGCGAGTCGACGGCAGTGCAGTCGTGGAGCGCCTCAAATGCGCCGACGCTGGCGTTGGCATTGGGCGTAGGGCTGGGGCTGGAGGAGGCGGCCGCCATCGCAATCGAGCTCCGGAGCAGGGCGGCATTCTCGCCGGATTGCCACGCAAGACTTAAAACCTATCCACTTGGCGCGTCGACATGTGCCCACATCAGCCCCTATCCACGACATTTTTAAATTTCTGGCGCCAAAAGTTTTAAAGTGGCTATGGCGATGCTTTCGTTTTGTTCTCCGAGCGTCTCCCTCCCCTGGAACGCGAAATTGGGAGGGAGGAAACGCGATGGAGTAATCTCTCGAGCAGCGCTCGACAAGGTAAGTTCCCCCGGATGATTTTATGCGAGTGCTGCGATTGCCATACATTCCAGGGGGGAAATTGCGCGACTTGCAAAGGCAAAGGCGCCATGGAGTGCAAGGGATGCAAGGTGAGAACTCGACTCCAAAAACCCCCTTGACAAAACAATGTGGCAATCGAATTGGGTTGCAGGGAACTGGCAAGAACAAGAAGAATGGCAATGTTTTCGAGCGATGGAAGTAAGAACTTTGGCACAATTCCTTGCGAATCCCTCATGGAAGCACTAAATTCTACTCTCCAGATGCTTTGATTGCCAAGGCTTTGGATATGTGAGCTGCCCAAGATGTGGCAAAGGTGGACTGACCCCAGAACAAAGGGGAGAAAGATAAGGTTTATAAGATTTTTAAGGTGAAGCGGCAACCAAACCTAATTATATAATTTCTTCATACTTAAACTATTGGAAATGACAACCCATTAGCGAGACTACCACGCAGCCACGCTACTTCGCCAGCATTCCTGTGGTAGAGGCTGAATTCCACGCTCTTGGTGATGTAGGCTACACGTTTGCACGATGCGATCGTTTTTATCATAGCCCTAAGAAGCTCAGATAGTTTGATGCAACACTCTGCCTACTCTGCTGTATCCCTTCACAAATCTCTACAGTGACCGGCGGTGCCAAGGCAATCGACTTGGTGTCACAAAACACTTAACAGCTCACTTGAAATAAGCCCAACAAAAACAAAATTCAAGCTTAGTGTTAGAGACTTTTTTGCACTCCAGTTTTGCGTTGCATATTTTCTCAACCAGAGGAATTGTCCTCTTCAGAGAATTTCCAAAACTGTTCTGAATTGGGTGTAAGGTTCCATCGTCTCCCTTCTCACTTAAGCTTTGAACCAACTGCTCCAAAGCTTGTTAATTAGTTGAAGAGGAAAACTTTTGCAATCTCCTCGTAAATTGCCAGTTGAATCTTCTTCGTGCTTCTTGGAAATTGGTTGTTTCTGCCTCCAGATCCGCCTCCAACTGTTGCATTCTGATTTCCATTCTGGACATCAAAAACGAAAAATACTATCAATAAACTATATAGCTACAATGGGGCAGCTCTTTACCTGTACACTGTTCATCACACGTGGGAAAAAGCGGAGTGGGCCGTTTGCCACGTCAACCGGAACACTTCGTCTTGCTTTAGGGGTTTAGGGTTGTGCGGGCTGTGGCTATGGCAGGCTCTACTAGCGGCAGCCAGGGAGGCCTTGAGGTCTGTCCGCCAGAGAAATTTTCTTGCTCTAGCTCGATTTTGTGTAGGCTTTGTCAGGATGCGGCGAGGACTCTGGCTGGGTGGAGGCCAGGACGAGCTGTCCGCATCTCGATCGAGTTTGCAACGCGCCTCTCTTGCCTCGATTTGATGCGCCCTGTGCAATGTATGTGGGTGGGATCTCCATTTCCTGACAATCCCTCGGGATTGAGTGCTTGACTGATCTTTCTCTTTTCTCTCCCATCGCTTGTTTGTTGTTTTCCTTGATTTGTTTTTTTCCTTTCGTCCGCAGCTGCGGCGATCATCGCGAGAATTGGGTGTGCTTGAGCTGCCGAAAAGTCTTGTGTGGACGATTCATCAATGGACATATGTTGTCACACTTCCAAGAGTTTGGTCATCCATCGGCTTTAAGCTACAGGTGGAATTTCTGTGTCTTTCTCTCTTGGTTTTTTGCCTTGTTCGCTCATGAGCTTCCTTGTTTTTCTCTTGCGAATCTGGCAGGGATTTGTCCGTATGGTGTTTCGCTTGCGATAGTTACCTGGATGCTCAAGTTATCAGCGAGCTCCGGCCAGCGTTTGATGCCGCGCACGCCATGAAATTTGGCACTCCAGCTCCACTTCGCTGTTAAACTTTCTTTAAAACTTCTACGCTCGTGCTTTCTCTTTCGTTGTTTGATTCCTTGGCCAGGAGATCTCGAAACAAACAAGTATAAACTAAAAACTTTCCCATGAAATTTATTTCTTCGATCCCGTGATCAACAACCAGACAACCAGACAAATATCGTCAGAGATATAAAAGCATCACAGGACAGGCAGGATTTTACGAGATCTTCGTCGCCGCTCTCTCGAGGCTCCGGATTCCCTGCCTGAGGTAAAGCTCTTGCTGCTCCTTCGTTTTCTCACTCATGATGCTCATTCCAAAAGACCAGCGGACGATCGTTTTGCTCCCATCGCAGCTCTTGGCGAGCTTGACAGTGGCGGAGTAGTCTTGGAGGCCAAAGTTCCCTGCAATTATCTTGTAGCTCATGCTGTACCTGGCGGCGGAGAAGGCCGTGAGTTCCTCCTCCACCCACCGGAACTTACCATTGCTGCTTGGAACAGACTCAGCGTAGCGGACTCCCGGTTTGATCTCGTAACACTTTCGAATCGTTGGCACCCAGGACGCGAGGTCGTAAAAATCCGACACGATCTTCCAGGCTTTGTGGAGTGGGACTGAGATCGTCGCGGCTACCAATCCGTGAACTCTCTTGTGGTGGTGCTTGCGATTCCTGGGAGAAGGGCTAGCATTGCGATTCGCGAGCTCCATGCGAAGAACAAGTCTCTGGAGGAAAAAAGTCCTGGAAGAACAAAATTTGGAAGAAACTTGGAAGAAGCTGGGATGAACACGGAAGATCCGGCAAGCGCTTTGGCCGCCGGGACCTCTGGGGGTAATTGCGCTGTCGCTATTAAAATTTGTGTTCCACTGCAATTAGAATACGCACATTGTTTGGCTGGATCTTTCATTCACACTAAGCAGTGACGCAAGAACTTCTCTATCATCCACGTGGCACAAGTGGATTAGTGACCACTGGCCACGTGTGTCATGCGATACACGATCTGGCCCCGCCGGACGGCCCAGATGTGTCAAAACGGCCAGCGATGCAACGAAGGCGATTGTACCACGTGGCTGGCGTTGTGGATGGCTGGAATGTGGCCACGTTGCTAGTATCTGGTCCCGCAGTATCTGGTTTAAATGCACCTCTCTCGGGTGTTTGTCTCATAAACAGTTATCTATCCATAAACTCTGCGTTTCTCCCAGTTGCTGGGGTTTTCTCGCGATCAAGAATCAAGATCTCTGGATTTCTCTCTAGCTCGCTCGCTCGATTTCTTTTTTCTCCTCCATTCTCCATACCATGGACTGCCAGTGTGGAGCATATAGAGCGCAAGGAATGGTGCTTGGAAGCATTGCGGCGCCGGTGGAGACGGTGTGGCGGATCGCGGCGGACTTCTACGAGCTTGGGCGATGGGTGCCGACGGTGGAGGAGTGCCTCCGGATCGAAGAGGGCGTGAGGCTCGTGAGATCGTTTCCGCGGCCCGATGGGCAAGTGACCTGGGTCAAGGAGAGGATGGTGAGGCTGGATGATGAGAATCACTGCCTGTCCTACGAGATGGTGGAAGGAAACATGGGATTGGAGGAGTACGATGCCACGCTCGAGCTCTCGCGGGCCGGAACCACCACCACTCTGGTGCGCTGGTCGTTCCAGATGAGCTCCAGGAGCACCAAGAACCGGCAGGAGCAAGAGGAGTTCTTGCGGTGGGGGATCAAAAGACTTGGGGAAGCTGCTGCGAGCTACTAGCGCTAGCTTCGATATGGAAGAAATGTTCAAGATAGAAATCTATAAACTACTGGAAACCAGCATTGAACAAAGAGAACGTGGGAGAGGGATTTGCTTGGAGTGCCCGGGACCGAAAGCGTCAAGATTCGCCTTTTTGGAAGCATTGACAATTCTATCGATGGGAATCTTAAATTAACTTTAAAAGTTTAAAAGCGTAAAACTAAAATTAAACTAACTCAAAGAGCAGAGAAACCCTAATAAGATTGTTGGCTCTCAGCCGTCGATGCACCGTATCCGACGCTCCAGATTGAATCTGTCATGTGTCTAAATCCACGGTTATAAATTCAACCCTTTTCGTATAAACTTTTTAGGTTTTAAAGTTTGTGTCATGGCTCAAAAGGTGACTATGAGGTACTTGCAATCGAAGTACGCAAGAAAGGAACCAATCACTATGGTTACAGCATATGATTATCCTAGTGCAGTTCACGTAAATCAGGCAGGCATAGATATGTGTTTAGTTGGGGATTCTGCAGGTAAGGTCACAGTATTTTCTGAAGTGTACTCCTTTTTTTTTTCTATAGGAATGGTTGCCCATGGCTATGATACAACACTACCAGTAACCATGACAGAGATGTTGTCACACTGTAAGGCTGTTAAACGAGGAGCCAACAAATCGTTCCTTGTTGGGGATCTTCCTTTCGGGAGCTACGAACAGGCACCCCAGCAGGTTTGCTTTGATTCCATGCTATATATCAAATGTTGTTTTGCCTTATCGTTTGTTTGATCTATCAGGCCGTAGAGAGCGCAGTGAGCCTTGTCAAGGAAGGAGGAATGGATGCAATTAAGCTAGAGGGTGGTAGTGCATCTCGAATCACAGCAGTGAAGGCAATTCACGATGCTGGAATTGCTGTCATGGGACACATTGGTCTCACACCACAGTCAATCGGTGTTCTTGGTGGCTTCCGACCACAAGGGCTGACTTCTGAAGATGCTACGAAGGTAAATGAAATCTCTTCTCAACTATATTCTGATTGTGTTTCTGTGACTTTAGTTGCTGGAGCAAGCATTACTCTTGGAAGCTGCTGGGTGCTTCGCTATTGTTCTCGAGTGTGTACCTTCGCCCGTTGGCGCTGCGATAACTTCATCACTGAAAATACCAACAATTGGAATAGGAGCCGGACCCTTTTGCAGTGGCCAGGTAAACTTATGGTTTATTTACAAGTCGTATATTAAAAACATACAATACCAGGTCCTAGTTTATCATGATCTTCTAGGAATGATGCATCCTCAGCACACAAAGGTAAAACAATATCTCATATTTTCTTTTGGCTTAATTGCATTCTTGTGATAGGTTGCACCCAAGTTTTGTAAACAATTTGCTAAAGTGGGAGATGTTATTCAAGAAGGCCTCGCCAAATATCGCGCAGAGGTCTCCAGTGGTGCTTTTCCTTGTCATGCATACACTCCATACCGAATCAATCCTGGCCAAACAGACTTGTTCCTGAAGGGGCTTGAAAGTAAGGGTTCTCTTGATGCAGCACAAGCTGCTGCTAGCGCTAGAGGATGGGAAGAAACTGGTGAAAGATGATGTTACAACAGCGATATATAAGGAAAAAGATATTATTTAGTGATATTCAGTCCCGAGTGCCTTCTCAAGATAGTTTTTTATTGTTTTCGCCTTTCAAACAAACCTTGGCTATGAGAGGTGCAAATTAAATTAATTTGAGAATGCTGCTATGTAGTTTTCTCTATCACAACCAATAGCTAGAAAAACCATTGACAATTTGGAAACATTAGGGCTTGCCGATGCAATAATGATGTTTGCATTTGCCAAGAGAACTCATTCATAATTCATTCATGGGATGCTAGCAGACAATCAAAAGTCTCTTAAAACGAATTATATTACTTGGCAAGCGCCATAAAATTTACTACTGGCTTAGAGTTTTCCTTATGGAGCATTTTCAAATTGGCGCCAAATGCTTTTCAAAACTAACGGAATTTGCCAACGCCCTAACAGAATATGCTTCCTGCAAAAACGAGGCGACGGAATATTTGTTTCTGGGCCTTTTGCCATGGGCGGGGACGAGAGCTGTGACGACGACTTCCAGCCAACCCTGATTCTTGGCAACGACACCCAGCAGGAGGCGCACAGCGATGGCGGCGGCGGCGGCGGCGGCGATTGCGTTGTCGATGCCCGGGGCGATGGCGTCGAGAAGGCGCTGTCCGATGCCACCACTGTGGATGACGAAGAAGCTGGAGCTGGAGGCGTCCAGGACACGGCCTCGTCCAAGATTCAGGAGCACGACGATGAAGGTATGGCTGTGCTTCTCGCGGCATGCGATTGAGAGAGATTCTTGGTTTCTTGGCAGTCCAACCGACCCTGATTCTTGGGACGCAGCTGCTGGAGAGTCCCCAGTACGAGAGCACCCAAATTTTTGGCATGGAGCACGCAGGGCTGGAAAATCCGGTGGAAGAGAAAAAAGCAAAGAGCTTGGCGTCGATACGTGTGCAGTCGCTGCGTGGATCAGCCATGGCGGCTTACGAGAGGTTGGTATCCAAGCTAGAGCTAGAGAAGGATCCACAGGAAAAAGTTGAAGTGGACGATTCGGCCAAGTTTGTCTTGCAATGGGGTATTAAGCAGGCCAAGACTTCCACGATTGCTTTCGACGTCTTCAAGCCAGCGCCATCGCTTGTGGAAGAGAATCTGGTGACTTCGAACGGTGGAGCCAGTTGCTCAGCGTCAACTCCCGTCTCTCAAACTCTCAAGAACATCAGCCTTGTCCCGGCATTGTGCTCGAACAACAAGAAGTCGACAGAGAACCGGGACAAAAAGTCGGACTCGGCTAGTCCTCAGCAGGAGAATTCTCTGGACAAAATTCGAAAGGTCTTGTTCGATGGGAAGAGTGTTCCAGGCGAAGATCACCGTCACCCTGCGCAACCTCTGAGTGCGATCGTAGCTCCCGTGAGGGAGCTCAGCTATCTTAATTCTCAGGATCCGGGAGAGGAGTCGCAGGCCATTGCTCTTGAGGCGCTGGAACGGTTGGTGTCCACAAACGGCGATTTCTCTCAAGAGGCTCAACTCGGTGACTTTGACGTGGAAAACAAGAAGATGAACGTGCTCGCCTCTCGCATCGTACAGCTCCAGCGGGACGACCCTTCTTCAGTATATGATTTCGTAACGAGCCAGGAGGATCCGCTCATGAAAGCCGGGGTGCTAGCAGCAGAAGGTGACCAGCCAGCGCAGGTTTTGGATGAAGAAAAAGTCTCTGAGGCGCTTGAAGAACAGGGTAAAACGCCTCTTTCGGTGGCGACGGGAAGTAAGCCGAGCACGAACAAACGGAAAACCGCGCCTCCACGCAGTACCGCTAGAGGTAAAAGGCGTAGAAAGGCTTCCCCAAGGCGCGCTGATCAGGTAGTTTTTACAGCACCGCAAGTAGATCCACAGACTCCTAAAAGCACGAGTAACGATGCCGTTTCTGCTGAAGCTGTAACGAAGGGCAGCAAGTCGACGGCTAGGAAGCGAAAAAGTGAGGCGGAGAAGCTGATCATAGCCGACGACACACCGAGAAGGAGCAGACGACGGCCAGTTAAAGTTCTGTTTAGTCACTCCCTCGGCAAGGATACGATCGAGGAGCAGAAGAAAGTAAGCATGTTTGTAGCTGGTCCTGTCAAGTTTTTGTAACCGGTTACGTTCTGCTAGGTGCTGAAGAAGCTCAAGTTCCAGGTCGTGGAAAAAGCTGCGGAATGCACACACTTCATCACGGACAGGTTCTTGAGAACAGCCAATATGCTGGAAGTCCTGGCTGCGGGAAAGCCCGTTGTGGATTTGGCGTGGATAGAGAGCTGCAGCGTGGCAGGGTGCGCGGTGGACGAGAAGAAATTCATCGTGGATGACTCTAAGAAGGAGAAGGAGCTCGGGTTTTCTATGCATTCAACGTATATTTCTGCTCAGCAAAGGCTACTGTTGGAGGTATAGTCACACGTCTTTTTCTCTCAGAACCGATGAAGCTTGACAAAATCAACAGGGAATCCCAGTGCACATAACTCCAAATACGAAGCCACTGGACATGGTGGAGTCCGTTGTAAAAGCTGCGGGAGGAAAGGTGTGTGTATGTGTGTGAATTGGAAGTATTGACTGCTGTTACGCAGATTGTCAAGAAGAACGAAGCCACTGGGGGTTGTCTAGTGATCTCTTGCGAGGAGGATCGAAAGTATTGCTTACCACTTATCAAGAAGGGTACGATTATATAGTAAGATTTGTTTTGAGAGTGTAGTTATGCCTGGTGGTACTTCAGGGATTAAGATTTATTCGACGGAGTTCCTGTTCAGCGGCGTGGTGAGCTATCACCTCGATTACTCGAAGTGAGTTTGGCACACTTCTTTTCTAGAGCCTTCTAACCGCGTGGGTGACTGCCTTGGCAGAAACCTCTTGTTTGCTGCTTAGCACGTCCTTGCAAGTGTACAGACGCGGTGCGAAGTTTTGGAATGAGTTTGAAGTTTTTTCAAAATGTCTAGGGGAGCTCGCTCGAGAGTATTTGTTCATTCACGCCAACGATTACTAGAGCTACGAGAACTGGAGCGAGCAAACGTTATCTGCAAAGCGTTGATACTCCAAAGCTAACGCTGGAGAAAACCACTAGGGGCATATAAGGAACTCTTCACTTGGTGCCACTCGATTGCATATCCTGCAGGTTTTCATCGCCTTTGTCCTTCGCTTGTGCTCCTTTTTGCCATGCACCCGGACCACGCAACCAGACGACTCAAACACCTGCAACTGCAAAAAAATAAAATAAATAACAAGTAAGCAAAACATTGCCGAGATTTTTTATTTTTTATATTTTTTCACCTGCTTCATGAATCCACTGTTTGGCTTCACAGTCGGGCTGCACTTCCTGAGCGACGCCAACGCCTCTACAAACAGCATAGATCTCAAAACTTAAGTATGGGCTCACGAAAACTAACCACTGGCCGAGAGCTTCTCTTTCCACATAAGGTACGCAATCACCACGGATGCACTGCAAGAACCGAAAGCGCAAAAATTAAAAAAACTGAGAGGGAGAGAGAGAGAGAAGTTTGGAGTTACCTGCGGGAGATACCACCACCACAGTGTACCAGCACGATCCCCTTGTTCACGCCCTCGTCGATGAACTTGAGCGCGTCCTCGAGGTGCTCCAGCAGATTTTCGTCGTGGCTATCCTCCACTGGGATCACTTTCCTGACGATAGCTCCATCAAACTCGGCGCGCTTGGTGTCAAGCTCAGCGGCGATCTTGTAGAGGATGGCGTTATCCCTTGGAGGCCCCAGGGGCGTGGAGAATTCGTGGCCTGGGCATAGGGGCACCACCGAAAGGATGTGAGTGACGCCCCTGTGCTTACCAGTAAGGAAGTAGAATGCGTCAAACTGGTTGCCAATGTAGAGACCCGGTCGTACCTTCTTCATCGGCTGCCAAGAACCCTAAAACTCTTTTCACCTTTACTCAAAATAGGGTTAACTTGGAAAAGTAACTTATTATCGTAATTTTTCTATGTTTCGATTCTTCTTCTCCCACTGTTATCTCTGAAAAAGATGAACCAATTGTTGACCACGATTTAATAGTGTTTGGTGCCGCAAGTCAATCGATTCAAGCCTTGCAAGCCCCGCATGAATCTCTACGTTCCAGGCCTGGCGTACATTTCCTCTAACTTACGAGAAGCAACGACACCATTTTGTGCGCTAGTCTAAACAACGGAGATTGGAAGATTTAGAACCAGAAGAGCGAATTACTCAAAGGTATAAAGCATTTGAAATGTAGCTCTAAAACACCCGATCGTTAAAACCCAAAGGCCTTCTGGGTGGCCTCTATGGCTGAATTGGCTATCGCCCAGTAAGAAGAAACCCGGACGTGAAACCCTCCCATAAGTCCCTCCGAGCGGCGAAACCCATTTTCTGATTGGTGATCGCATTTACCATGGCAAGAATGCTTGCCATCGTGAGGAGCAACGAGATCCAAATCGATCACTCGCAACCCCTGGCTTGTCACAAAAAATTCACAGTCTTTACCGTTCAGGCCCAGGCTGAGCAGCAAGACGGCGTAAAAGAAGCCGATCTCGGTACAGATCGCATGCGTGTTGTGTCCCTGGCCTTCGAGTCGACGGAATCCCTTGTCCGTCATGCGCACTTTGATGAGGCAAGGAGACGACTTGGGCGGGTGGAGAAGCTCGATCACGAACGCCGGTTTGGCAGCCAGCGCTGGGTTGAGGGCGATGAGAGGAGCCGAGATTTCATTCTGCCCAGCCGCTGGCTCACCGATGATCGCCACAAATACTTTCGGCTTGACAACTCGAAGGCCCTCTCCCTCTAGCTCTCCTCCCTCTCTCTTTCTTGCTGCCTTGTGTGCTACACCCTGACCCTGGTATGGATCTCGAACTCCTCCTGCAGATTCCCGTGGCTGTTCGTGGGAATCTTGATCGCGACATGGATTGCCGGGACTGCATACACGTCGTTCTTGGTGCCTTGCTTGAGAAAAATTGCTGCCATGGAGAAGGAATGGAGGGCTTGCGAGAGGCGGAGAGGGAGCGCGAGGAGAACTCTACGTTTCACGTTGTCCTAAAGGCGTGATGATTAAACCTGGCTGGCTCAAGCTAATACGTGCATAACGGTTTTATGCGGTATCAACTGCCAGAAACCAGTGGCTAGAGAATTTCGTCTTGCTATCACGCTATCACCCATCAGCATAACCTGAGAAGCGATGGGAAATTGTATTTAGCTAACAATAACACCACCCAGAAATACAATGCTAATGCAATTATGCTGGAGCTTCTTGTGGGAAAGAGGCCACTACTTTCCAAAGATCATCGTTGTCTGGTATGTAGCGTAAACGAACAACGATTTTAAGAAAAAAGCATAAAAGATTGAATATTCTCAAAGCCCTTTAGAAACATCTATATATAGACATTAGTGAGCTAGGTATCTTGACGATGGATATGTTTGGGGATGTACTGAAGCAGATAGTTTCAAAGCTTTCAGGTCAAGATTTGACTGCGGCTAATCTAGTTTCAAGAGAATGGGCTGCATGTGTACGTGTAATTCGAAGAGAAAGGCGTGAATCTCTTAAAAAAGGGTTGTGCCAGATCCAAGGGAGCCTCACATACTCTGAAATGTATTATGATCTCCGTATCTCAAAGCAAGAACTCAAAAATTCCATTCATCTTTGTCTTGTTACATCAGATCATGGGAATTTATCTCAAAAGAATATATCACTAGAGTTTGTGGTGGATTTTGCATCAAGACAAAGCGCTGCCCCAGAACATCAAACTTCCACCATACTTAAGCAGAATCGTTTTACTTTTGAAAACTGTGCTGCATACGATCACGATATTAATCTGGGTTGCTTCATATTTGCAAGATGGGAAGGATCCCAGGCAGAATGGATGGTAGTCTTATGTGATCCCATAGTAGAGCACATAAAGGCCTTGCCAACTTTTGAAACTCGGAAGCAATGTCCGGGAGGGATCTCCATACTGATTGATAGGGATGACTTACGGCATTACAGAATTGTTGTACCAATGATTTCAACAGCTGGGTTTTGTATATGTAATTCCGTTTTTGTGTTTGACTCTGGTACTTACAAATGGGAGGAGGTTGATTTTGCTGAAAAATATTACATTAACAGTTCAATTTCCCATGGAGGGGAATGCTATGCATTGAAGTCTGGATCAGGAGTGGTCATGTATAAAGATGATGGAAGGTTTGTGGACGTTTCAAGGGTCTGCAATGAAATTATCCATTGTGCACCAGAACATGTTAAACTTGAGAGCTGGCATGATGGCTTTGTAGTTGCTAGGTATGATCCTGGGCTTCTCAGGCTTTACAAAGTGATGGGGGATGGAGAGGAAGAGATTGCATGCTTGGGAGGAATAGATGATATTACTAACGCTAGTAAATTGAAGTACTCTATTAAAGCCTGGGATGACAAACTATACATAGGATTGTTAAAGCCAATGAGGTGGTATAAACTCATGGAATGGATTAACAGGCAGTGGAAGCAAATTTGGTTTGAAGATTTGAGCTCAAATAAAACATTTATGAATATACCACTTGTTTAAAGGAGGTGTTAAAGAATAGAATAGAATACTGTAATTGATATTAGAGAGAGAGAGGATTAATTTTAAACACTTTGAATACAATGTGCTATGGGAATTAATTTAGTAGCCAATCTAGATATGTGATCACCACAGACATCTTCTTTCCAACAACATAAGTTGGTTAAGTGATGGTTCACATTTGAGCTTAGAAACTTAGCTAGAAATGAATGTTGTGATGCATACCAAGCTTGAAAAATATGTTATTCTCCACCTCCAATATGGTTGAATACTACTTTATATAAAGTTTTGTGACATTGTACAAATACTATATATTTATATTTATATAAATTTTATATAACAATACTAATAAATGATTAATAATGTGATTAGAATTTTTAATCAAAATTAGGCACAAGACAACACCAACATGCTTTAGGGTAAGGTTTTGGGAATGACTATTTGATTGAGTTCTAATTGCTAGCATTTTCATTTCCCTTTTTGGCCTTTTGTATGTGTGTTGCAAGCCACTCCTCCCATTCATATAGCCATTCCTCTTCCAAACACAACTACTCCTCTCCATTTACAATGGCCATCTCCTCTCTCTTTTGCAACCACTCCTCTCCCACTTCAACATCCATCTTCTTTCCCTCTTTCACTATTGTGTAGCATATGGGCAACCATCTCCTCTTTCACTTGTGGCCACTCCTCTCCCACTCACAACCACTTCTCTCGCACTTTGTGGCCATCTCCTCTCCTTCTGAAGAGGTGTGAAAACTCCTCTTCGCTGGATATCTACGGCGAACCCAAGGCTGCATTGGAGCCATAGATTGGATCATGCACAGCATATACTATTCATTAGCATATGCTGGCAGTTTGAACTGCCAAGGGGGGGAATCTGAATTGTGGATCCCCATTTCCATTCATCATTTTCATATCAATACACAACATTCATTCACTCGTCTTTCTTCTCAGCCCTTGGAAATTGGGCCCTTTTCTCCTTTGTTTTTCTCACTAAGGGTTGGAGTCCCATGAGCCTGGGTTTTTGGTTGATACACTCTACTCCCCTGACAGAACTAGACACCGTCCTCGGTGTGAATGTAGTCTCTCGATTCGCCTTGATGATTTGCTGTGGAACTTCTCCTAAGAATTGGAGCAAACCCTTGTTGGAGATTTTGAAAACAGAAGCGATTCTTGCTGGGTTGAGGGTGATCTTGTTGGTGCCGTCGGTTATGGTGCTGTTCTTGGGGTTGAAGGAGGCAGCCAACTTCCTCGCCAGCTCTTGGTCAGAGTGTGTCGAAAAGGCCTTGTGGAGGAGCTCGAATCCATGGTCCTGTGACGGCAAGGTGGATAAACTTGCATCTTTCTCTTCATTTTCTGTGATCAAAGTGTTTTCCCTGTTAAGTTGGTTGGCTAATTGTGTGGCACTCAATTGCTGGTGATGAATGGTCTAGATTTGTTGATTGAATTGAGCTTGTTTGACTTGTCTTAATGAAAGATCAATGGTGGAGATTGGTGATGAAGTTAACTTAAGTTCAACTGTTGAGATCTGATGAGGTGGCGTTGATCCAATGGTAGCTTTGGACTTAGAGATTTTTGCTGCGGTTTGTTGCTGAAGTTGGTGGG